GGCAATAAATGCATACTGTGTTCATTATGGGTTCCAGATAAGTTGTGTTAAGGGATGCTGTGGTAATTATCATTTGTTGGATTTCGGTGGAAACACCAAGGATAGCCCACGAAAGTCTAGAAGAAGACTTATTTCCAGTGGGGTCCTTCTGGTGGTGATTGGGCAGTACACCGGGAGACAATCCCCTACACTTTTCCGAAGAGTGTACTGCGTTCTTTAACTTGCACGTGGGCCATAAAGCACACGGGACCAACGACTTAAACGTCTCATCCGAAAGACGGTGCGCTAATTGCAACTTGTATTTCAGCCATCTAGCTGAAACACAAGGAGAGGCAGCGATGGGAATCGAACCGGGGACCTAGAGATCTCCACGGTTCAGCACACACAGTGGCTACCACCAGATTAGCCGACTGAGCTAAGCTGCTCTCAAATTGTTGGGTAAATTGTCTTTCAGGGGCAGAATCAGCATGGGGCCATGAGGGGGTGGGGGGACAAAAAGTAGTGATAAAAGTAGAAAAGGGAGGAAAGAGGAAAGAAATGGATGTGTACCCATGAGTTCAGTAGCGGATCTAGCAGTGAGTGAGTTGGGGCACTTGATTATTGAACCACTAATTTTTATTTTTCTATTGATTGATGACCACCACAATGCCATATCCTTGATGCTGATTTTGTCCAATGATTTCACACTAGACGGAATGTCAAAAGAAGGCCAAAAGACAGAGACCTAAGACAGTTTTTCAGCCATTAGTTTACTACAGTATAGTTGTAGGCCCAGCCGGAAAACTGGTGCTTTTCCCTATTATATGTTTTCTTATTAAACATTTAATAATACATGTGGTTGATCCAGGCCAGTAGATTAACAAATCCTCTCCTTTGCGCCTCGCAGCATAGAAAATTGCTGGATCCGCCCCTGTTCTTTGTAGGAAAGTAGTCAACACTTGATAATTACCCCAGCAATTACCCATGACAATTTCTTTTAGACCCAGGAAAGTTTTCCAGAGGAATATTTAATGAATGCTATTATTGAGGAAAAGTAACAAATGCCCATGAAAACAATTTCTTTTAGACCCAGGAAAGCTGTCCATAGAAATGTTTTAATTAATAGTATGATTGAGGATAATTGTCCATTTCTGGATTACAAATTAAAAACTCATGTGACATATCCAGCAATTAGTAAGAAGGTAAGTGTTTTATAAATTAGATTTTTAAATCAAATTTGTGACTGGACTCAAACAATAAATAATATTCAAAGAACATTGCAAAGCTAATCTGTCTTTTAGGCTCCGTATATGAACTAGATTTGAGTAGGCCTAAGTATGTGTGTGATTGATGTGAACAACTATCTGCAGCAGGTAAACAGCTTATGTTACAGGTGAAAAGCAATGAGCTGGTGAAATGCTACAGTTACACATTGCATGCAAAGTAAACAGTCAGTCATCTGTAGTAAATCATAATTATCTCTACTGTATTTAAGGCCAAATAAAAAAAAAACCAGTTTCTCGTCCTCTCGCACATCCATTTTCTCTGCCTCACCAATTTTTATATTTTAAAAAATTTTTTAATTTCTTTTATTTTATGAAATGTACAAAAATCTGGCTAAAACTTAAATCAGTAAAATTCCTTTCTCGATCAATCGTTCGTGGTGGGGATACATATGATATAAATCTTCTAGTGTTTCCTTTATGTGCTTTCAATATGTCTGCTTGGTAAAAGTGAGAAAGTAGTAGCTCTTTCCCATTGACCTTCGTGGATTTGCCATCTCAGAGTAAAAAAAAAAGTGCCTTCATTCTCCTTTTTTCAAAATATTAGGACGAGAAACTACTGTACTTTTTTTTTACTTTGCCGTTGTTGGTGGTTAATAGCCTCATTTGCAGGTAAAAGTCACCCCTCTATTTAAAGTGAAGATCCCGGAATGTCTCAATTCAACTTATAGTCAAGAATGTTTAGTTAAAGAATGTACTGTGCTAATAGACATCGTTCTAACCTGATGGTAGATTTGCTTCTGTGAAAACCACTGAAGTTTGTACAAGGTTAAAAAATTCAACTTAAATTTGTCTCCTTTAAAGACTCACAGCAACACCAAAGTAAATTTGAACAGAATATAGTTCATTGTATAATTGTTATGAAATCTGACCTCTCTGCTCCATAAAGAACAGGTATGACCAGTGGTCTCTGTCAAAGTTTGAACAAAAATTTCTGGTACAGTATAAACATGGAGGTATTATTGAGAAGGAGATCACTCGGCAACAGATCCCTTTGACGCGACAAACTTTTTTTTGTTCCCCGCTTTTGGATCACGCGCGGGCGTATTACCCTATAATTCACATTTTTTCGTTAGCAACAACTTGGCAACGACATGCATTTATATGCTTCCAGCAGAGCAGTTGTGCAATAAAACGTTTGATTTTAACCCAATAAATATCTTTATAATGAACAATGTTCCCATGATTAGATTTTTTCGGGCTTTTGGTATGTTATTATTTGTATATTTCAGGAACGGATTCCGTAAAATATTTATGTAAAAATTTTGTCTAAAGATTGACTGGTTCGACTATAAAGCTAAGTCAGCGTAAAACTGAAAAATACTCAGATTTTGGATTCATTTTTCGAATAGTTAACCCTCGCCCTGTGCGACAAATTAACCATTTCGCCATGACATGCCTCAAATGTGTTAAATGTGTGCCATGATTTGATCTGTTTCTATGCCAAAAAAATGTTTGGATCATGTGTACCACTCATACTACTGTAACTCAACAAGGTACATTACTGTAGATCATTGGGTAATAAGTCCACGTCCTTAGCATCCAGTTTCACAATCTAGCAATTTCCTAGCATGTGAATAGCCCAGGGTATAAATTGAATAAGTAGCTGAGAGTCAAAAAAAAAAAAAAAAAATTAACACATTGAATTTGGCATGCATGCAGTTTAAAACAATTGCCTTTTTGATTAGCCAGTATAGTTTTTAATGAACAGAGTACTTTTTGGGTGTAAGTCTACCCCACAAAACTGGCCCAATTTCATTTTACTTTCAGTAGTGCTGTTTATTCCTTTAGCCTACTATATATTTTTGATTCAGTTTTGCAATGCAAATTTATTATTATTGTCTTTAAGCATTATAATTTATCTTATAATTTACAGGTAATTCCTTGTATAATATCTGGATTTATTACTCCGAAAAAACGGATACCTGCATCACATCAGAGTTTATCTTCTTTTTCATAGTGCTAATTTTTGCTTTAGCCTGCTCAGTTCTTGTATAATAATCCTAAAAATATAATAATGATGTCAGTGGTACAATAAGTTTTATATACTGTGCCTATGTATATTATATTTCCCATAACACATGTGCATGATGGGTTACGTGTTACGAATTACTGTAGTTGCATAACTGGAGGCATTAATTTTGTGTTAGACATCTTGAAAAATAAATATATGAATTATGGGACCTGTTATACAGATTGTACAATACTTCTTGCATGATTAGAAAAAAAAATCACTGGACCAAGTGGGATTATTGTGTATGAAAGGAATTTTCAGTAAGTTGATTTTTGGAAATGTGGGTTAATTTTAGTATCCATTGTTGTTTAGTGAGCATTAAATTGCAAATTAGAAGATTTTTATGCCACTTATTTTTCACACATGAACAAGTTTTTCACACATTGTGCCAGACAACCTTTTATAAGTCAATTCATGTTCTGAAATTTCAAAAGATAAAATGTGCCACACTGAGCATATGCAATCATAAGATATCATAGGCAACTTAAAACTGAATGATCAAATGTTTTTCAGTTTAAATCTTGATTTTTATTTATATCCTTGTATTTTGTGTTTCTTGTGTATATTTCACTGAGGAATTAATTGTGTATTTTAAAAACATAAATTTTGAAAACTTTCCTCTTTGTAAGCCGATTTTAAACTCATCTTATCTTTTAATATTGTATTGCCGTTTTCGTGTATTGTAAACTTGTGAATGTTGTTATTTTTCCTGCAATGTTTTGCTTGCGCAGAATGTGACGTGGAATGTTTGTACATTTTTTTATATGCTGAATAAAGAATGATTTAATAAATAATGATATGGATTATAGAGAAATTATGAATCTTTACTACCAGTTTTTAAAGTTCAATATTTCGACATACTAACTCAAATTTAATATCAAGGCCACACTATCAAAATACAGTCATTATTGGTGATTGTTATGATGATATGGAAGAATGTCTTAGAGAAAACTTAGGGAATCAATGCAAGAAGGCAGAAAAAAAATTATTATAAAAACATAGAATTTCAATAAAAAAAACATAAATCATGGATCTATAGACCGAAATAGTCACCAAATCATGATTTCTTATAGTGGGTGTAAAAACATACACATTTGCCAGAGTTATATGCTTATGCATTGAGTGGAGTCAAAAGTTGTGGTATATCATCTAAAATGTAATGAAGTTTGCCTAATAACTCTCATGAATTTTGAGATTACCAAAGGAGATAATCCTCATGAAACATTACATGAGATTACCAGTATGAGACAAATCTTCATGAAGTTGAAATTTATGTGTATAATTGTACCAAAAAGTAAGAGATCGGCATGCGAGTTACTGTATACAGTAGCAGTCCATTTGATTAGTGAGATTAGTAACCAATCCTGAAAGATGTACGATATTCTTTATCACATAATAATAAAAATATAATATTTTAATTTCCTTAACAACAAATAACAGGAGGAGGGAGAAGCCAGGAGGAACAAGGTTCCTATACAGGCTGTGTTCTCACACGGCTGCTAACGGTTAGCAGGATCTGGATCCTACTAACCGTTAGCTGCCGTGCGTCCATACGAGAAAATCTTGATCCGGATACCAAAAACATGATCGAATCACTGGCCAATAAGAAACTGCAAATTGTAAATGTGTATGTGTGATTGGTTGATGATAGAAACGCACTCAACTTGCTAACCGGTAGCGCATGCTAACCGTTAGCGGTATCCGATCGGACGTTCTCACGCAGGTGCTAACGGTTAGCGCTAACGATTAGCTCCTGATCCGGATACTAGGGCTCTCGTGAGAACCAGGCTATAATGTTTGGCAACCCCAGCATTACTGTACATGAGCCAATTGTGTACATTGGGCTCATTTATAGTCTTTAGGCGAAACTTTTTATACCTTGTTTAGCGAACCCGCCGCCCCCGCCGCCCGCCAAAAAATTATGATTTCAAATAAAAATTTAATTAAATTTTTAGATAATTAGCCCATGCCAACAATAAAAATTGGAAATTTCAGAAAATTTAAATAAAACTTTTTAATTTATTTTTATTATGCTTGCCTCTGCCTTGAAATCTCCAAAATAAGAATTGCCTATTTATATTCCTAATTATATATATTAAGCATTAACCCTCCCATTACTACATACATTCACCAATAAAATTTAAATGTTATTTTCTTCCCCATCTGGATGTTTTTGGCAAAACTATTTTCTAAATAAAACAAAATTTAATTTTTTTTTTCTTTAAAGGTATATAAAAAAGTCTCGTCTTATCCAAGTTATCCAAGAGGACTTGTTCCACCACCGGAAAAATCCGGAAAAACGAACCAGTGCTAATACTATTGGCTGTAGGTTGCGGTTGCCCTGCCTTAACCACTCTGCCAATCGACCATCTGACATTCTAAAAAAGTAATATTTATGCAAAATAATTAAAATAAAAGATAGTACAAAATAAAATTGTTGGCAGGTCATCACAAAATATTTTTATTGTACAGCACTAGCAAGGGCTATCATAAATAATGACCTCATACATGATATCTGATAACAAAAGCCATTACAGATAGGTTTGCAGCAGTATTTTTATAAAATTTAACAAGGAAAGCACAAAACAAATTAATTCTTCACATTAATACAATTTCTTTCAATTACTACACATTTTTCATTTAAAGTATGTTCCATTGTTAACTGTTAATGCATTAGCCTATCAGAGGCTAGTTAATGTAATGTAAAATAAGATATCAAGGTATGTGGGCCTCAATAATATTCATGAGGTAAAATAGACAATCAAGGTAAGAATTAATATAAATGAGGGGCAAACAGTAAGAAAATGACATCCACATAACTAGTATACTGAAACACGGTTTTTATAGTTCAGAAAGTTAAAAGGACCATTTTTCATGCTGAATACAGTACCAACTTCAATTTGTGCATTAAATTCTAGTTTAAAAGTTCTAGGGTACCAGCAGTTTTACCAGTTTGTTTTAACTGAGACAGCACACTTGCTAATAAAAGCTGTGATCTTTATGTAAGTTGCCTTTGATTAGTACTTAAGATGCTTGCTTTCAACTTCTAGGTTTAAATCCATGGATTGTTTCATCTAATAATTAGACACACTTGCTACTTAATTTATAGGATGGTACAATCAATGGATTTGAACCCAGGATCCTGGGAATGGAATGTAAACATCTTACAGTAACTACCAAACCACAACATTAAGAACACGGCTTACATTATCCCTGATCATTAATTGATACATAGCCATGCACATGCACCGTAGTAGTTTTTTTGTGTAATAAAAGTGATCATAAATATCAATTTTTTTTCTATTAAAATCACTATTGTTATATTCTCAATCTGTAATAATACACATGTCGACTGGCAGAACAAAAATTAAAATACTGTATTGTATAGTCATACTGGTAACAATTTAAATTACAAAGAAAAAATTGTGAATTTATTGATATTAGAATGCACTAGTACCATTCATAATAATAATAAATAACCCCCGCGTTGAATAAACTCCCCCCTCAAATAAATGCCCCTCCAGAGCCTTATTTGAAATAGATGCTTCCCTTGAATACCTCCCCCACCCCATATACAAACAAATTTTAATGGAAGCAACATCATTCTCAATTCTAATAATGTCCTACTCCAGTAGCAATTACATTTATTCTAACATGAGGATCAGTACGTCTTTATCAGACGATAACATATTTTGGCGTTAATTACATGTGTTGTAATTTTACATTAACAGTCAAATTAAGGGCCATATTTGAGTATATACATATCCAGTTTACACCAACAAAAATAAATGCCTCCCTGGAATAAACGATTCCCTCGAAAACCCAACAATAAGTGCCCCATGGCATTTGGATAAATACGGTAATTAAATTTCAATGTAGTAGTTGTTTCTTTATTACAGTCAGCATGTTTGCTGGCATGGAAAACAATACTTTAATGTGTTGAAGATACAGATATACTTTTCTTTTATTTCTGTATATATTATGACACTGGTGGTGGAGCACAAACAAGGTAAGCTCAGAAACCTATGTAGTAATCCAAAAATAAATAAAAAATTTGGGTGGTTGAACACTACACCATATAAATAGTTCTGGCCATAGCATATATTGCCAGGACCTAGATGCTCCCCTGGTCATTGGAAGAAATTCTGCTTAGCTCCCTGTGGCTTAGAACCTTCAGAACCTATCAGTTAATCACTCTGTTGGTTATTGCTTTAAGGACACAAGCAACTGACCAGAGAGGAAATCATACATTATGGCCTTATGATGAAAGACTGAATTACAACAGCTATGCCAACCTTTCCAACTCTTCAGCCTTATAAATCTTGACAATAATTCACATAGTAATGTTAATAGTAGTCTGGTGGTAGATCATATCCAGCTTGAAGACACTCTTGCTCCAATGCCCACTGTTCCAGAATAAGTATTCTTAGTTTGCGTTTGTGGATTTGCATCTTGATGTTGTGCTCCTCTTGCGCCATCTTAAGTGTACTAGATCCAGTATCTTCGCCAAAACTGCTGCTGGATCTTCGTCTTTTTTCAAGCGGCTCCATGACTGGTGATGTTGATGCTGTATGGCTGGGGTATCGATATAAACCTGTGCTCGATGTTGTTTGTTCAAAGTCTTCTAGTACAGCGTTTGCTTCATTAATAGAAGATCTTGATCTCCAGGAAGTATTTTGTACTTGATTGAACCTCTGACCTCTTGTGTGTCGGTTACTACTAGAATCATATTCATTCATAGCCATAGGAACTTCTTGATGAGGTAACATATCCTTATTTGGAAGGACTGTCCGATTGATTTCATTTCTGGAATCATCTGAAACTCGTTCTCGCCGATTAAATAAATTTCTTGTGCGTCTATATCTCAAACCTTGATAATACTTTGATTGTCGTCTGTCAAATGCATTTATTGCCACTTTCATTCTGCCTGTTTTTTTAACAGACGCATTCCTTGGATCTGTGGCATGTGGTCTTTCAGGTTCTACAGCATTTCTTGAAGTTTTTGCACTTGTGTTCCTAGCCGGCACTTGCGCCTCTCCAGATCTCAATCCAGGTGGTCGACCCTGTCCAGGTCTAAATCCAGTAGGATTATCCTGGTCGGGCCTAAACCCAGGTGGGTGAGTTTGGCTAAAACCTGGTGAATTGTCTCGGTTAGGTCTGAAACCAGGTTGACTTCCAATGGAGTGTGACATCATCATACTGTCTTCTTTCTGTGAAGTTGATGCTCCTTCTTGGTAAGGGAGTTGTCCAGGAAAATATCTATTGCCTTCCATACTTTCTTGTCCAGAAGATCCACGTCTTGAATCTTGCTTATCTTCTGGGAATTGTCTACCTTGTGACCTTGGACTTTTCTCTCGATATGGCCTTTGACCTACATATGAACCGCTCTCAGAAAATGACTTTTGACCTTCATGCTGTCCTTTGATCTCTTGAGATGAAAACTGGGTATGTATTTTATCTGCACGAGTGGTTTCAACATGATTTCTGAGGATATTTTCATTTAAGCGGCCTGGAATGTGTTCCAAATTATTTTGATTTGACATTTGCCTGGTAACTTCATTTGTATGTGTTGTAAGATGATGACCGGTATCACTACTCATAATTCCTGGTATATCTAGCTTCCTGCGTGTTTCAGATTGCAATGATTCTACCATCATTATCTTAGGTATTGTATCCTTTCTGCTCGGGGATGTAAGAGAATGATGTTCCTGTATTGATGGTTTAGGTGAAGTTGGCAAACCTTCTGCATTCCTATGAGATAAAATATGTTCACAATTATTTGCGGTATATCATATCAACATATTTTTGTTTGAACTTTATAAAAGATTTGAACGTTTCTACTGGAGAAGATAATTATAGTATTTACTGTAATGCCCATTCACATGTTCAACAAATTGTAACAATTAAAACCTCGCAAATTATTTATACCGAGATTCAATATATTCACATGCATAAATTGGAAGACTGTAATAAAATTAATTAACATTTTAACGTGTGTACTTTTTTTCAGCCAAGATTCAGCTTCACACTTCATGAGGTCTGTAAAGTTTACCAAGATATACGGATGTTAACCTCTGTCTAGATTATGAAATTTTCATTGACAAGAAACTGTTATTATGCCCATATTTAGTCATGATGTCATCATGACCAATAGGTACTGTATGTCGCATAATTTTATCAAATAAAATTTGATAAGTCTGAACCGGGTTTTATGTGAGTTTTATACAGATGCATTCACAGGATTTCACTAAACAATTTGTTACATTATTTTGCTGGCTTTTTGTATGTGTGAATTGGGTTTAAGATGTGACATAAAGTTCATATCGCATAATTGTTTTTCTCACAGTAAATCCAAGCACATACTGCCTCAGATGACGGACATACTGTACGACCATCAGCTGACAAATCCATCTCTACTCTCAAAGTGCTTGAAGATGCAACACTGTCTGCTGATTGTTGACGGCAGTCTGAGCGGATTGTCATTAAAAGCAATCTGTAGTGCATACAGTACGTCAATACATTGGCCGTATTTGCCTGGTTCTTTGTTAACCCATGCCTGCCTGCGCAGTGGTTAAATTCTACAGTACTTTACAAAAGACCAGACAAATAGAAAATTGGTGAGGTTACTTGAAAAAACAAAATGGCTCCGTAGTTACTGCTATACACACTAGCGTAATCAAAGTTGCCTCGGCTTGTGGCAGTATGGGTTTTTCGTAAAAAGTATGTTTTCTTGCAGTTTTTTGAATTCTTTTTATGTGGGTAAATATTATAATTATTATTTTCCAAAATTTAATTTAAATTATATTAATGCAAATGTTGCTAAACTGACTAATTGGCAAAGTTTGTTTTGGTCATGTGGAGCTTATTGCAAATTAACACACTCTGGTTTACGTTAATTTCCATAGTCAACAAAGTCCGTTTTACGAACCAGTAGAATGAAAGTAATACTCAACGAAAAATTGTCATAAAACGAACCAGTCGAATACGGCCTTTGCATTCTCTACAGATAAGCAATCACATCGGCCAATGACATTGAGTGCAGAGTGTGCCCAGCTTCTATGTAGCAGGGCCAATGTACAGTACAGTGTCTTGTAAAAAAAAAACTGAGTGGGCTGTGTCCAGAAAATGGCCTGTCTATAATTCCCGGGCTATCAACACAGGACAGTAGTATACACAAACATTTTTTAATTGTTTATTAAAAAAATTTTGCCGTGTGAGTATTAAATAAAAGTATAGAAAGGATCATGGTTAAAAAAAATAAGACTTAACAGAAGGCACCTGGTGCTTTCAAAATGTGATCGTTCAAAACAATTGTGGCTGCCTTATCGCATGAACTCACAATATGCTCTATAAGATATAATAGGTCAAGAAACAACTATAACCCCCTGTATTATTATTTATATGCATAAGCTTGAAAACATGCTTGCAAAATACTGTACATCTGAACAGATCAGTATTTCACTGACAAAGTGCTAGGTGTATGAAAATCACAAACACAATCAGATTTTGAACATTGCAAAATCTAGAAAGCAAATTAATTTCTATGCCACTGTACAGTAGGCCTAGCCATGTTATGGTTATGGCATAATTTAGTACTTAGTAATTTCCATCTTACAGTTCAGTATTGCATTTGTAGTTAAAATTTACTTATTTTGTCATTTCATTATTTATATGAAATTTTAATTCTATAGTAAAATATTATTGATTGATGCACGGAGGATCCAGGGAATGGAAATGGGGGCTAGGGCCCCCAAAAAAAGAGAGATAAAAAAATAAGATAAGAAGAGAACATTTTAAATAGCTGTTATTTAGCTGCTGGAACGCCTATTCAAGTGATATTGGGTAGAAAGCAAGACTTTTTTGACTTTAATTAGCACTTTTTGTTAGTTCAGGTCATCAGTACTGTTTATCATCAGTATGGGTTTTGATTTGTAATACAAGCGAAATTGTTCAGCCAAATGAGAAAATAAAAATTAATTTTTATTGAAGAATTAAAAGAAAGATAGCATGTGAGGTTTAAACAGAGTAGGCCTAGAGGGCATGTGCACTCGAGATGTTAACAGTTTATTGTTGTCAGTCATAATGATACATGTTGTAATTTTGTGATGTAAATTGTTAACAAAAAAATTCCATTTTTACAATTTAATGTTTTTATGGACAAGTCAATAAACTATTTTGAATCTTGAATTGAAAAAAAAAATATTTCTTTAATTATGTGGAGGAAATTCCATACTTGGTGATTACACTGTGGCAGAGCATTTAATTAAATGTTCTAGAATCATGATTTTTCAACTACTGCCTACATAAAGCAAATGTGAAAAACAATCTAAACATAGTAGGCCTATTATACACAGGAAGTAGACTGTTCTATTTATTTCCAAGGGGTATTTTGACAAAGCCACATGGGTTTAATCATTGATGTATAAAAATATTAATCATGGGGGTATAGTTTATGTACAAGCACATTTTCTTAAAGCACATGCCACATCACACTAAAAAACCAAATTACATTTACTGTAGGGCCACAGACACAATGTAGTCTGCACCCTACAATGCACATGTGAATGTTACTTATTTTCATTTTCATTTAGTACACGTCCGGTATGCATACAAGAATTAATTTTACAGTACTTACTCAGAAAAATCTTGCAGTTTTTCAGTATCTGATAAAACTTCAACAGTTTCTGCATCATCTTCATTTATCCATTCCTTCTTTATCCTAATAACATCATTATCGGTTTCTCCTATGTCCGAATCATCTTGCTCCATCACCAAAAGCTCAGGTGATTCCGCAGAGTGCAACTGTTGATCGTAAGAGGACTTCGGGTCAGGGTGTTGGGGCCAATCGTTTTCATTTCGTACGTCTATGTAACACTGCTGACCCAACTGCGTACCCTGTGCACATTCTTGCTGGACCATAAATTCCCATGCAAGTTGACTGACTATATTTGGAACCGGTTTCTTCTTCTCTAACCATTTCGGCTTTGTGAGTTGCTTATTTGGCGCCAGAGGTGTAGAATTTGGAGCATATATACAGCGTGCCTTGTCGCGTATGCGTTTCCAGCACGATCTTAAATCATTCGGATCACGGCTTGTTTTACCGGGAAAATGCTTCTCGAAAGCAGCAGCAATTTCAGTCCATCCGTTCAACGATTTTGTGAGATCGCCTACATATGGGTCAATCTGTTCATGAATTGATTTATGCTCCTTAATGTAGTTGATCAAAAATAATTTTTCGTCCAATGAAAAATTTGGCTTTCTCCGCATACCTTCCATGTTATTAGCCATTGCCATTGCCATTGTCATTGTAGAGAATAGGCTGGAGGCCTATTCTTTAGGCTTTTTAGAAAAGCAGACTAAATTCCACCACACACTATTGGTTGCTATTCAGGTTTATTCTCTGCTACCTTTCGGTTACCCTCAGCCGTTGATTTCACCACTTCTATAGCTAAATTCTGGCTCTACGCATACTATTCTTCTGCTTTGTAGATCTTAGGCCATTGCTTTCCACCAATTTCACAGCTAACAGTTGACTAACTCCTCACTTGCAAATTGCATTTCCTCTGCTGAGTGGAGACAAAGGTAGCCTACTACTAATAATAGGCATTTAGATAAGCCTAGGTCTACGTCCACATCAGAGCAGCTCACAAGAATGAAAACAAAGCATTTTGTATCCTTAAATCTTGCAGTCTATTCAACTGTTAAAAATGAATTTAAGTAGATAAATCACATCAAAATATGAGAATTTTGAACATTTCTTGTCTAGTATTATTAGATATCTTCAGACTAGACAGGCTTTGTGACTAGCTTTTAGTCATGCATGAGTGCACTGCCTATTAGTGCCTCTCTGACCTTGCTTAGGCATGGCTATTAATATTATTCAGTCTAGCTTGTTGTTGTGTCATGGAGGCACAGTGTAGTATACCTACATGGTTGTGTATACAATAACCATGTAAGCCTTTGAGTTGAAATTTTATGTGGTGCTTATTTTTTGCACCAGCAACATTGTTCAGAGGAATGCTTTTGGGTAGCATGTGTGTATAAGCCTACTATAATATAATGTAATGTAAAGAGTAGGCAATTGTACATTTCATGCTAAAAACTAATAAAATTGCTGTGAAACTCGTTTGATAATAATAGTTTTTTTTTTATGCTCCGAACACCCACATACCCACACCAGTTTCAGTCTTTAATCTCCCTGATTTTGGTGAAGTATTATATATGTGTTCGTATAGGCCTTTTTTATAATAATTTTCACTGTATATTTATTTTTTACATACTGTATTAAATTTGTAATTGTAAGAGAGCTGTAATTAAATTAATAATTAAACTAATTTTTGCTTTTGTAGCAATAAAATTATGTGAATTAGTCAGTTAGGATTTTTGTTTTAACTGTAGGTTTATTTCTATGGTTCATTATCAGCAACCACTCACCGTATGCATGTTAAAAATAACTGATGAAAAAGCACTAAAAAGGTTTTTAGACTCGAAAACCATGTAGCGTTATTCCAAAGACTAGATGTGTTTTCGTAGTACAGTATGGTATATATAGATAGTATGGTGTTGGTATATGCATAGAGCAAATGGTATGCAATGCTTTTGAAGTCCTCATGTATTCCTTATCACCTCTGAAGGTTCATCAGATAGTAATCTAATATAAATGAAAAGTAAATTTAATTAGGGATAAAACTTAAATGTTGTGAAATAGTGTTTCACATAGATGACAGGCAGGGCAGATATTTAGGGGACCGAGCCAGCCCCACCCCTCGCCCTCCTTTTTGGAAAGTAAAAAAGAAAAAAAGAAAAATAAAAAAAAAATAGAAGAAAATTGATCATTCAAATGGCAAAGAGTACTAAAGGATTTTCATAGTAAAGCTGCAATCGAACTGGACAAACGAAAGATTTTACCAAGACCCTGAGTATAATTCCAATGGTAAATCTTACCGCTGTCTGCACTTAGATTAGTTTCCGAGGCTGTCTGACACTAATCAGAGAATATATAATCATTCACCATGAGCTAGCATTGTGGGAAGTGGATTAATTGTGGTATAACCATAACCAACCAGCGTCTCCGGTTTTACGCCCAGTGAGATTGTGGCTTTTCTTTTTTAATTTGTGACTTATTGGAAGTTGATAAATTTAGTTCTTATAAATATGAAATTCAAATTTTTCTTTGATATTTAATGTTTTTTTTTTTTTTTTTTTAAATTGGTGGCAATATATTTTGCAAGCTAACTTGCAAACATAAGAGTTGGCTATACACTCTAAACTTTATCGGTTTTGTTGGTATTGAATATAAGTGACTATGTTTGATTTATTGGATGTTAAATTTAGTGTTAATAAAACTGAGGAAGGCAGTATAACTTGTCAGACTAAAGCAAACATTATTCAAACCACCAGTTTTAGATCACACCTTCAGCATCTTAAAGGTGGCTGATGCAATGAGGGAATGAAATGAAGTATGACTTATCTGACCTCTTTATCACATTAGTTTAAAGGCTATCCCTCACTTAATTCCTGGGACCCCCACTAACATTCTTCAAACATTTGCACACCTATCTTCTTCCTTCTGTATTTCAATAATGTAATGTAGGCCTACAGGTTTACAAGTTTAGTTTAGTTAAATAGAAAAGTTAAAAAAAATATTAATACAGTCCTAATATTAATATTATTAAAAGTCATAACATAATTATTTTTAATATAGAATTAATATTAAAACTTGTAAGTTGATTTATTAGTTTTAATATAGAGTTAAAGAACATTTATTTAATACAAACACAAGGTAAAAGAACATTTTATAATTAAATAGCATAAAAATAAATGTTTAGTAGGCTGATGGTCAAATATCTTGGAGGTCAGATTTAATAAGATTAGGTATGAAAATTCTACAATTTAAATGTACTCTTTACCTAAATTTTGAAAAATCCTGAATTACACCTCATTTTATTATTTGGCTATACTCATGCTATAATGAGGCAATTCATTTTAATGTTAGATATCATTATTATTATGAGATGTCTTTTCATCTTCAAGTAGTGGACCCCATTGACCTCAACATCTTATGACTCATTACAAATCATGAATTAATGTTTATGACTGATATCACGCATTTCCTTTGGACTTCATACTTAGTTTCTACAAGATTAGACTAAATACATTCAACATTTTTTATTGTTTATGCATCGCTGAATTGCCGTAATTTATTGCATGAGGGTAGCCCTTAACAGTGGTAACATTAAAATCTTCATCTGCATTATATATGCATCTTATTGAACTAATGTATAGTTGGGTTTTTAAGTTTTTATTCAATTGAATATTTGTATGTACTCATACACCAATTAAAAAAGCTGTGGAAAATGCTTAGCTGTAGAGGCCCTCAGCT